CGACAGAATACCTTTTAAGTAGCACTTAAGGCAACCTAATTAAACTATAAATGCGTCAATTGTCCTACAAAAAACATATCTAAATATGCTTGGTCACATTTGATCGGCTTTGTAAATCACTAAGCATGCTACGTTATCTACATCCCACATTAAAAATGACTTTTTTATTCACTTATATTTATTGTCAATGAAAATGGTCAGATTATGCTTGAGGGAACCGTAGGTAGATGATTTTGAATTAAAGGATTAATTATTACTCTAAGCCGAACTGTAGTCTACAGCAAGCTACCGCACAATTGATGGTCAACTAATGAAACTAAATTTTACTTACTTCCAAACCAAATAACGTTTCAGCTAAATGTCTTCAGCGGCAAAACTCTGTATTCAATAGAATTAACGTGCAAATGTTCAAGGACTTTAAGGCTAAAGTGAACGTCTTTGACTTGTACGCCCGAGTTGGACTAGGTGTCTTTTTGAAATTATGGCCCAGATTTAAACGGAGACAATGATTTTAAGTATGTCCATCAAACAGTCAGCTATTGTCAACGCTAACTGGCTAAAGGAGTAGAGATCTCAGACTTGAATCCAAGGTGCCTCAAAAGCCTGGGGTTGGATGCGGCTGGTTGATGATGGCTAAGAAATCTAATTTCTTCGTCCTTTCATTTGACCCAACTGTAAAAAACTCGACGCCTCGATGGGATTCGAACCCACGCAGTAAGGAGAAGGTTTTAGTACAGCCAACCCTCTAACCACTCGAACTACGAATTATTCAAAATCTGCCAAAACATCCATGAATTACGTGAGCCTGATAGTTATCTGGTGGATTCTTGGGGAATTACTTAGGAAATCCTGTCGGGGCAGTTAACTTGCTCTAACAGATTTGATGGATTCCAGACATTGCAGTAGGTTGGGCGGGTAACTTGACCCAAATGTGATTAAAGTCGCGTCGTCCGGCGGGGCCTCGTAGCTCCGGTGTTTAGAGCATTGGCTGTACTAAAGCCTTCCCCTTACTGTGTGGGTTCGAATCCCACCGAGGCGCCGAGTTTTTCACAGTTGGATCAATATGAATTATTCAAAATCTGCCGAAACATATGAATTCTTCGTTGTGGCTCCCTTCAGCATATGCTTTTGGCTGTTATGTACCTATCATCGTGAGCTCTAGGTCGGGCCTTGAGACACAATGGGGCAGGTATGTCCCATAATCCGATCAGAGCGTGCGATCTCAACCTGTCGCAAAACGCCCACGCTTTTCTTTATGTTGGCAATCCCGTAAGGCGCCGAAGATGTCCTGACATTTCGAATCAAATGAAAATGATGTCTAACACATTACTCTAAACGAAGCATCGAAGAAGATGGAAAATTGAAGTAGGCTGAGCACGGCAAACCTCGTGCACTTAAGAGGGATATTTTTTGAGGAAATCAAATCTCTCTAAGAGGAACGGAAAGGTCTGGCCAGATCCCGAAATATATTAATGACTTTAAACAAAACCCTCTGGACTTACTATTGGCAGTGTGTATTGGCGGGGCCATCCATGCATCGATCGATAGGTGTTTTTATGTTTAAAATGAACATATTCCTTCCTCTTTATCTCGTCGTTATCAGTATTGCGGAGAAACTGCTTGCGACAAACAAGATAGTGAAAATACTTTTATCATAACACTTTATATTGTCTTAAGTTAACTTGGTGTCGGTTCTACAGTGTTTACAAAGTGCGACCTCCGATTGGCAAGGCTGTTTACATAGCCAGATTAACATGCTGTTTCGTGGACGTTTAACCGGTCAATTAACACAGTTTAATTAAATGATGCCATTCTCTAAGTTAAGCAATCTGCCCTCACACATAAGAAGCGGTTTTGATCTCCCTACTAGGCTAGTATTGTGTTTGGTAATTTCAAGCAATTCGTTTGCAACCGTTTAGAATACGGTAGGTATGCTAACTCATAAAACGTTTACCGAAATTACGAAATACATTTTCGTTCCAAAATATTACTTAAGCAGGGTCTTAAAATCCATCATCACGTAACATAATTCTCTAATAAGTCAGCTACCTCGAAATGTCGCCTTTTGAACTAACTTCCTTCCGACCGCATGCAAAAACCACACTCTTTAAAAATGACTGCTTATATAGCATGAACGTTTCTCACTGATTTTTAGTGCCCTTATAGGTTTAATTGTGTTTCATGGAAAAAGTCATTAAATTGTTCACTCTCTTACTCATTTTGCAAAAAATACGTCGTTTTCCAATTTTATACTCGAAGGAAGGTTATAATTCAGTTTTCAAGAAGTTTCTAGTTATGCAATATTTTAACATCGTGAAATGCTTGTTCATAATATATCGTGTCTCTGCATTTGCTAATGTGACTCATAAAGTTTACACAATGGCTCAAATCCACTGCTCAATGTTATGAACCACGATACGACCTCCTCTCAAATAAGTAGAGAACTGCATGGCTTTCCGTATGCGGAAAATATACGACTTATAGTTTGGAAACCCTGAAAACAAGTGTAACGACAGGTCGGTTTCGAAATTAGTCGAGAATTAGGAAGGTTTTTGAAACCGAATGATGCCCTTTCATCGGGTATACAACTGGAAGAAGACGTAATTTTCCACTTATTGAGCAAAAGAATTAATATTTTTGTCAATGTTTTCCATGAAATTTAATTTAATTTTTTGAATAATTGAAATTCAATGAGACAAATTCATGTTATAAAAGCAGTCATTTTTAAAGTGTGTTCTTTGCATACGGCCGGAAAGAAGTCCTTTCGAAAGTCGCCATCTCAGGGCAACTGGATTATTATAAAATTATGCTACGTGATTAATTTTAAGACCCTGTCTAAGTACTTTTTCGCATTTCAGAATTTCGACTAACCTACCATGAGTTAGCGCATCTACTGTGCCACTGGCCTGGTATGATATTCGACTCGCTAACCATTGTTATTTTGACAAAAATCCACAAAACAACCTCGACGCCTGTTCTTCTTAATGCTTGAACTCACACAAATTAACCTCACTCTTTTTTGATTACACATTAGGGAATAATCGAATAAACACTATGCATCCATTTCATGAACGTAAGTTCCACACGAAAACGCTAGACACTAACATGACCTTAAACTGCTGAACTTTATACAATTCGTTTGCAATTCACCAAATCCCAAGTGAGGGTGCCAATTTTTGACTGCAACCAGAAAACTCTGGTAGTCGACTCAATCAACATGCACCGAATTAAAATGGAGTTGTGAGCAATTTTACAAAAGTTAGCGAACCTAATGCCAGACAAGCGGAGACGCGAACTCGTGCAGACTCTGAGACAGATGGGTTGAACCGACGTTCCTTCCAACCACTTTCGCGTCACATATTCTGCCGTTCGTTTAGGAATGACAGTATTTTGAACCATGCGATTAAGTAGTATTTTTGTCACATGCAATTCCCAAGACCAGGCCACCGCATGTCTGTTGGAGCTGGGGGTATGTTCTCTCAGGTGCAGAATACGCAGAAACTACGGCAGATAGATCGTCCGTCCTTCGTCACTCAGGCAATTAGACTGATAAATGTGTACGGTGACATGGCCATTTAAAGTATGTGGGCAATGAGAATAGTCGGGTAATACTCCTCATTTCGCGCGACATGGATGAGATAAATGCGATAGAGGGCGGGGCATTTAGAGATAGTCGGCATAAATCCAGTTAGCTAATGATTATTCGTATTGATGCAGAAAGGGTTGGGGAGTGCCATGCCAGGAGATAAAAATGCGGGAAATCGTCTGCAGTTGGCCAGCGTAGTTGCAGACTTTCCTTGTTTCGCAACCTGATTGAGCCCGACACCTACGAATTACGCGCGAGGCCACCACAATGCCAAGAATCACCAATATATACAAGAGTGGTGTTGATGTGGCATTTAATTTTGCCTTTTCTGAACCATGCCGGGAGATGCTCTTGTGTTCTTTTGGATAGACGCCGACTCATGGAACCAATGTAAACTGAACTTCAAGAGGAGGTGAAGGTATAGGACTCCATACAGCTTGTCTGATTTGGTAATCCATCCTTACCTTACCCACGTGAAATATGTCTGGTGGAGAATAATGCTCACACTTTTGCTGCTGGGAAGGTTCGTTGAACAGCTCAATCAAGGCGTCTTCTCAGGAGATCACTCGCTGAGTACCCTAGAAATGGAAAATTCCTACTGGTAGAATACGAGATACGAGGGGAGGGGTTGACTTGGCATATGAAGTCCGTAAGGATGCGGGGTAGTCGGCGCGAATCTCTTTCGGTTGCTAATTATGATTTATTCAATTCTATGTCTAGTCTGTCGATCAAACTTATCTTTTTTCAGATATTTTAAACCTGCGGTAACAGAGGAGGTCTGGATGGAGTATGTGCGTCTGACTAACAGTCTAATAGGAAGCAGTATGCAGGCTTTCACCTGCTGCATTTACGCGATCCATCGCGGAGAGAGGGGGGGAGGTTTTCTCCTCGTCTGTCAATCCTCTGGCAGTTAACGTTTGACGGGTCGCGCGAAACACACACGCAGGGAAAGCCGACTCGACCCTAATTTGAAAGTCTGCAGTTCCTAACGTCAAGGATTTTTTGCACGCCCTGCCAGCGCTGACCAGTTCGCATCGTCGCAGAGCCCCGTTGGCTACTGCGCGCTGACTGAAACGTGGTCGAGGCTGGTTGTCATGGAAGAAGGTAGCTCTATATAAAGGACTGAATAAACAATGGTTTGCCGCACCTTCCTCCGTCGCGCGCTTTCTAAACCGCTTTCTGTAAGTTCGAAAGTAGTGCATCAAGTGAGCTTCGAGTGAAAATATTATTTTAAGGAGCACATACGTTCTCACATTTAATCGATCATCTTGTCAGTTAAGCTCTCACGTTATGGTTTTTCAAAACCTTTCTGCGACTTTAATGTTTAGTCTGGGTACGCAGAATTTAGTCAATTAACTTCCCACGTGCACCAACCCCGACTGATTATCTTTTCATCTTCCTGAACAGACAACCAATGATACGAGACATCGTGGTTGCTCTGAATCTCCTCGTCGCCGGCTGTCTGGCTGACCATGGTGAGAATCAAACTTTTGAAAATTTTCATAATGCCCGTACGGCTCCGCTTTTGAAGCAAGCGTAGGATTTAAGCACGTGAAATCAAAATTTCCTATCTAAAAATCGGTTTAAATTAACTCGATATAGTTTTATTCTATGAGGACCCTTTGCCGATCAGTTATTTCAGCGCCCACATCGTTGAATGATTACAAATTATTTGCGTCAGGTATTTTTGTCTGATAAGACCGATGAATGGAAAATTTTTCATTGAAGGGCTATGTTTCATTGAGTAGCCATCAGATACTGCGCCGTAAGACAACCAAACCCCAATCTGGAGGGGCATATCGCCTCTCAGGGAAGCAAAAGTTAGAAGTCCGGATCATGAATATTTTTCTACTGACTCCAGAGGTAACTCTTAGAAGATAAAATTCAAACTGCGATTGACAATTTAAATGGATTCTCGCGTCAGTCGATCTCTACAAGACCTCAACAAACACGTTGTAAATACAGCTTATACTTTTTTAAGGAGTTGATGTCTAAACCTAAATACAGCAAAATGTCCATTTCCAGTGCAATGAACACGATATGATTTCCAGACGTCCAGTCTTCAGAAATACAGGAAATTAAATACTAGAGCATACTTTGAGATATGGCCTATGGTACTATTTACTCCATATGTGTTTAACGGGAATCGTACGTTATTTTGAGAAAAAATCATATATTACTTCTGATTCGAAAGTAGTTTGGGACAGATAAAAGTTATAGGACAAATATGGCAAACGAATAATTATTTAACGATGGTATTCTTAAAGCTTTGCGCGAGAGGACAGAGGAATTTTACTGCAGATACAAGAATTTAAATAAGATCGTATTTTCCGAAAATTTGGTACGCTAAAATATGTTTTTGGTTGAAAGAAATTTCCAAAATGAGATTTAATGCTTATTGACCTGAAGCTAGTTCTGAAGGGATTCTTTCGATTAAAGATGTTCGATTGTGAATAAGAATAGACACATGCACTTGAATAGTTAGATATCGCGATATTTTCATTTATTTCTAACGTCATTATTAGTCTGAACATATACTGCCAAACATATGCTAGAACAACCATTGCTCACGCCTTTTGGGGTAAATCACATCTTTAAATTCCTAACTTCCGAAAACATGTATCATTCGATCTGAGAACGTTTATCCACGAATAACTTCAAACACAAACTGGGGTTTCGCTGGAACTTTGGGTTTCCGAAGCACACGCTTCAAACTGTCCCTTAAAGAGAAATCGTACATTCCGTCGTGCCATTCAGGAGATATCATTTGGAGCTCATGGAACTTATAATCAAATCTACTCGACATTCATAATACAATAGCCGCATTAATAACAGCACAGATCTAAAAACTTCCCTAATCAAAAACCGTTTGTGGTAGAAAATGAGCCCTTCTCACACACGGCACTTTAATATGACGTAATGTTTACAAATGTAGTTTAATTAGGGATCCTTTTCAAGTATTTCTACAAAATATGTTTTAACATCGGAGAGGAATAGAACATTAGTATTGATTTTATTAGCGTTTTTCGCAGCATGGCCTTCGATTGTGGTCAGAAAGCCAACATACTAAGATGACCTAAGACTATTTCCCATATCAGTGGGCATTGCAATCTCACTCAAGTAATCTCTCTAACTGAAATTACAGGTTCCTGTTTTAGCAACAGATTTATGACTTTGATCGGGGACAATATAAATTTCATAAATAGGGAAACTTAACTTTTGCACGCCAATTTTGGAGGAAACTTCGTCCTTCAACGCAGAAATTTGCTTTGCAATGTTGCTCACGAAAAAAAACTTCTCAGTAGCCCCACTTGGACTTGCTGAAATATTTTCCCTAATACCTAATAATGACTTATACAGATGACTATGCGCATGCAGGGAACAACTACGATCCCGACTATCCTGCAAAGTGTCTGAGCCTTTTGGTCTGGAGGCATTAGACCTTACTGCCTTACAGAATGTGACCCCTGCGTCCGCTGTTGGTAGTTCCAAAGCCACGGGGCTAATTCCGGCCACGAAATCTGAGGCGTATTATATCGCAAGAGCACTTCACGTGCCGGCCTAAGCTAGCTGATTTACAGACACAACAACCATTTCCTGAATAACCACAGTCCATCGCAGACGCAACGATTTGTTAATGCCACAGGGATCGGAGCTTATTTCCTAGCCTTAAACGCAGTAGACTAGCCCCGGCCTAACCCCTAAACTCTAACCCCAACCCCTAACCCCAATCCAGAACGCCTAACCCTAGCCCAAAACACCTAACCACAACCCCTGACCCTAACCCCTACACCCAATCCATAACCATTAACCCCAACCCCTAACGCCTAACCCTAACCCCAAACCCGAGTCCCTAATACCCAACCCCCATCTCTTAACCCCAAACCCCAACCAACAACACCTAACAGCTTACCCTAGCCCACCACTTCTGACCCTAACCCCTGACTTCAACCCCTAATAGGTACGGCTACAAAATAGAATCCTGCTGCAGCAGTCTTTTTACCCGTTCTGTTTTGTCTTCTTTATAGGTTTGCAATGGTCCTACGCAAACAGCCACACCAACCCAAGCAACTGGGCTCGTCTTAAACCCGTGATGTGTTCGGGGTGGGCTCAATCTCCAATCGCCCTGGACTCTGATACGGCCACATACTTGGGCGCAGAAAGTGAGGCCGCAGTTAACATCTCTGTGCACGGCTCAATGGATTCAATGACATTCAGTGCCACTAACAACGGACATTCCTGTGAGTCGTCCAATTATGTCCAGACTGTTTTAGAGTAGTGAAAATTCCAATAGCAAAGTTCAGAGGACAAAGTGGCGCGCAAACGTTGTTTTCGATAGCTTCTCTTCAGGCCGGTACACTTATATGACAGCGGGAAACAGAGACTGAAAAAAATCGATAAAAGTTAGTTTTAAAAGCACAGCCTAGGCAAGAGCGGAAGGGCGCAGAAAGTTGTACGTTGGTTAGTCAATCTTTGACCACGGTAAGCGCGGAGCCTGAACGAGGTTCAACTGGGCACAGAGGGTCGGTCTCCGTAACCTGATGGCGGCCGCTTCTGCTGTTGCTAACAGGCGCTGGCCCAGTAGCTTAGAGTAGCTGGAGTGACCTTATATATCACACCAAATGCTTTGGCGGGATCCATACGATGTCCCGAATCAATAACTTGCGCGAGAATGGCGCTGCTTATGCCAAGCTGGGAAGTGTTCGCGTATTCTCTTGGATAGGTGCCCACTAGTGCCACCAATATGACCTGCTCCACAGGAGCAAATGAATGGGTAGATGCACATTGGGGTTGTCTGAGGTGGGAGCCTATCCTTGCCTTCTCCGCTTAAAATAGGGTTAGTAGAGAATGATATGTGAACCCTTGCTGCTGGGAAGTTTCTCGAGACAGGTTGATCAAGGCGTCTTCTTAAGAGTTCACTCGCAGCATCTCCTTAGAAAGGAACTTTGAGGAACAAAGTTTTCTTTTTGGAGGTCAGTGTGGTGGCTGGCAAAAGGTGAAACTAGGAGAATAAACAGCGCCATCTTTGCGCATGCTGTGGATTCAGGGCATCGTGTGTGTCCGCTGAAGGATTTCGTGTGTTTTATAGCGTCCCCTTGAAATACAGTAAGCTACTGGATCAGCGTTTGCTAGCAACAGCAGAAGCGGTCGTCATCAGGTTACGAAGACCGAGCGTCTGTGCCCAGAAGAACCTCGTTCAGGCTCCGCGCTTACAGCGATCTAGGGCTGACTAACCAACATACAACTTTCTGCGCACTTCCACTCTCACCCTGACTGTGTTTTAAAACTAACTTTTATCGATTTTTCAATCGTTATATCCCGTCTCCATATAACCGTATTGGCCTGAAGATTAGTTATCGAAAGCAAATTTCTCTCGCCACTTTTTCTTCTGCCCAGACTCTCACATACTCCCAATGATGTGTATGCAGTACGGGTTAACTAATTTCTATACGCGTCCCAGTTCTTGTCTCTGACCGCGTGAAAGATGCTCATGTGGGTGTTGACGAAATGTGTCATGTGTTATTATCACTCAGTGTGTGATGCTTTCTTCTATTTCCGTTTGTTGCAGTGGCAATAGCCATTCCAGAGGAAGTATGGAAGATCACACTAAATAACAAGGCAAAGAACTATTACAAAGTTAGTCAATTTCACTTCCACTGGGGAAGTGAGAATGAGAGGGGTTCGGAACACACGCTGGACGGCCGGACTTTCCCGCTAGAGGTTTGTCTAACGTTAGATGTCGATTTTAAAACGTCCTCTAACGTATGTATTTACTTGGCATTGTTGATCACTCGGAAAAAGTGCACATTTATACACCGTGCTCCAAGTCGTTGAGCGCAATCTACATGACCTTGGACCGTTTCACAGTCAGGGGTGAACTTTCAAACAATTTTCTCAAAAGAAAATACATGAATGGACACACGACGGTTCAATCGTCGCTGCGGCGTTGTTAAACGTGTGCTCCACTGAAAGGTGAAGCAGACACGATGACTTGCTTGTGAATGCGGACTTCCAGAGCATCTACCACACCCTCTTCTCCTCCCCACCCACCAGAGCCCGGTGTCAAGAGAGAGTCAAGAAGAGCGGAGGCCGGGGGGAGGGCGCGAATGTATGCTACGGCCGAGCCCGCACCTTGGCGTTCCACTCCACACCCTCTGGTCCACACAGCAAATAACCAGAATTTTAACGAACAACAACAACACCCAGCAGGGGTCCGAAGGACGAGGATGATGACTGGGCAGCCATGCCCACCACCTGTATACCCAGCAGTAGCGCAAGTGCATCTAACGGCAAGGAGCCAGTTGTCAGAGAACTGCTAGTGCATACTAGGCCGCGAGGGCCGTGTTTTGCTGATCCTGGCATAGCGAACGCTTACATACCTTTAGACACACACACACACACACGACAGTTCGACCGTCGATTTCGACGATGTCCACCGTGTGCCCCACAGACCGCATTGTGGGAGCAGGGACGGTGACTTGCGCAGGGGTTTATAGTGCTGGTAGACTTGCGCTGCATCTACCTACACTCTCTCCTCCTCCCCCGCCTGAGCCCGGTGTCAAGACCAAGTCAAGAAGACCGGAGACGGGGGAGGCTGCAGGTGGATGGCTCGGACGGATCCTCGCCTTGGCGCTCCACTCCGCACCCCTTGGTCCACACACAAATGACCAGGATTTTGACCACAAAACAATGGGGTGGCGGCAGTGGTCCAGTTGAGCGACAAATGCCGACAACAGGGTCCGACAGCGCACCCCGCAAATGTTGGCATTTGTAATTGCGCACAGATAACGCCTGCCAGAGTCCGATTTGGCCCCCGTGTTGGTCCAGCGCATCTAACACGTGGCCCGTTTTGAGGGCAAACACACACGCACACGCGTATATATATGCTGGAAAGTAAGCACCCGAAGAAATGTGGGCTGACGTCAAAAGGGTCCGTTGGGAAAATTAAGCAAATTTATCCTTTAAGCCTTTCGGTGGCTGCGATGCAGTTTATTGTGATCAAACAAAGAAATCTGCTAAAAGCGAAGATGCGAGTTCCAGGAACTAGTTGATCAGACGACGAAGCGATCGTTGGAACAAGGTCTTTATTCGCCTGACGTTTCGGATTCTCACTTGCATCCATCATAAAGTGAGAATCCGAAACGTCAGGCGAATAAAGACTTTGTTCCAGCGATCGCTTCTTCTTCTTTTGATCAAAGAAATCTGCCTCTGCACGCATTCAGCAATATAAACTGTCAGAAAAAGCGCGACCCACGTGACTACGCATACTCATGGCACTGGGCACACCTTCGCGTTGGGAAAACTTCGCACTGTCGGCTTGAGCTCCTTTAAAGGAGATCAAAAGTTATTCCAGGCCATGCATTCAGATAAATTATGCGTCAGTTTGCGTACTGAGTTGGATGCCACGCTGTAGTTGGTGTCATACGACGTGATTCTTACGTGAACTGTACAAGTCCCTGACTGGAGCTCACTTTTGCACAACCGTTTCTAAGGAAAATATTTACATGTGTAGTAAGGGTTAAGCCCATGCGTGGGGTAAGGAAAAACCATGGGAACCGCATTAAAAATATTATTAAAAGTAGGCGTTCTTCGGTAGAAGTTTGCTCAGCCCGTCGCCGTCAGAATCACTTTCTTTGTCCCGCTGAGGGGCTAGTACTGCTGAAATGTGGATATCGGCTCATTGTTCTGACTCCCCACACATAATCCTTTAGCAATAGTAAAGCTTACTTATAAAACAAGTTCCGCAAAATAGAGCAATCAAGTAGTGAAAATGTTCAAAATATTGTTAGATGGAATGCAAACGTTTCCAGTTCAACAAAAGTGTTAAAACGTTGGTGAATTTGTTAAAAAAATTTTTACTCCTCTCATTTACGTAATCCTTGTTTATATGCATATGTGCATTCACTGACTAGGCTACGAGACACGTTGATAGTGTTGCAACTTAGGGTTAGATCTAGAGGTCTGACTGACGACGACTTAAAAGCCATAAACTGCTATCTTTGCCTCACCTGCTTTTGTCAGTATTCTGCCTTCTGCGGACACATTCAAGCAGTGGGGAGACGATTAAGTCTGAAGGGTGGTTGCTGCTTCGTCCATACGAAGCTTGTTTGTTTCGGGAAGCCCATTCCTGAGTGCCCACATACAAGTTCTTTAAAACCGAAGTGTACTCCTTCTTCAAGTATAAGACTTTATGATGACGTAATTTACTGCCGATGGAGTATCAAAAGAATGTTTTGCTCATGTCTTCTATATTATATATTTGCATTTATAGCAGCGCTGAGCATTAACGCAAGCGATTAATATTACGTAAGTAGCCAGTTCTTACAGAGTTTAATTTAGTCAGACAGTTGAAAAGAAGCCGGTTCAGAAGACGCCATACTGCCGTGATTTAAATACCTTGCGATCTTCTCGAGTACTTATTAATATTTTTAACCCACCTTAATAATCTTTTTTTAAAATTGCATACATATCGGGAGACGATTAAGTCTGAAGGGTGGTTGCTGCTACGTCCATACGAAGCTTGTTTGTTTGGGGAAGCCCATTCCTGAGTGCCCACATACAAGTTCTTTAAAACCGCAATGTACGCCCTTTTCACGTATAAGACTTTAGGATGACGTAATCTACTGCCAATAGAGTACAAAAAGAATGTTTTGCTCATGTCTTCTATAAAATATACTTGAATTTATAAGAGCACTGCGAATTAACGCAGGCGATTGATATTACGTAAGTGGCCATTTCTTGCAGAGTGTAGTATATTCAGGTAGCTGAAAAGAAGCTCGTCCAGGAGAAGCCATCCTGACGTGACTGAAATAATTATTAATACTTCAAACCTACTTAAATAATCTTTCTCGAATTGAATACATGTTCCAGAATTTCAGTTAAAATTTCATAAGATAATACATCTACTATATGCTTTAACCAGAAAATATGCTCCACTTTTACCAATGTAGAAACCGCACCCTTGATGCAATGCTGACCACAATTTCTGCTAACAGGCTTCTTTAAAAAATATCCCAGTCAGTCGTAGCTACCACTGCCTTGTCTTTCAGTCGACAGTACCATCGGTAAAACAGATGAGCAGATGAAGGATTTCCCAATGAAACCCCTGTCGACCTTTTCATTTCGGAGTGTTCCACAACAGGGCGTAATTTGCAGTTTCACAAACACGTTCACTTAAAAGACCCACCCATTCTCCTTTTCATTCCTAGATGCACATCGTCATCTACTCTTCCATGTACGCCAGTCTCACAGCTGCGCAAGCCTCTCCAGGAGGTCTGGCTGTGATTGGCGTCTTTTTCCAACTAACCACTGATCAAGCCAAATCCAGTCTTGCACAAATGGGCAACCTTTTGTCGAATATCGGCGAGCTCACTACAGCAAATTCGAAAATTGAGGTGAATTCGTTTGACCCCAGTGTCCTCCTGCCCGAGAACAAGAACGAATTCTTCCGCTACTCGGGTTCACTCACTACGCCGCCCTGTACAGAGAACGTCCAGTGGACGGTGATGAGGAATCCCCTCCTCGTGACTAGTGATGATGTAAGTCCCCATTCCGTCTCCCAGCAACGGTATAGAGAAGGACCCCAATTAACTGTCAGTAGACTGTGGATCGTGTCATATGGGGTTTTGTCTTGACATACGTTTGTAGGCTGCTGCAGCAACTACACTGCCAACAGCGATTACTTCCCACGACCTCACACCTTAACCCAAAATCCGTTATTTTGTGAAATTTACTGGCTGTTTATCGTTTAATTACTATTCTCATTTCCGTTGTCGTACAACAGCGTAGGATACGACTGTCGGCAGAAATCCGGTTAATTTTGTGTTTTCTTTCATTTTGACAACTTACTGTCTAGCGAACTGCCCCACCCATAAAACTCCCTTTACCATAACTCACCTATGACACGATCAATATTTTACTGACAGTTACTTGGGGTCCTTCTCTATACCGTTGCCCGTCTCTATTCTGTCCGTGCTTACGCTTTAATCAAGTAAGACGAAACAGCAGGTAGGGTTGTGGCACTACGGATAGTGGCAGGGATGGTGATTTCACACGCTTCGCGTACAGGGCGAGGCCGCTTTCTGGATCCCTTCATTTTGATGGCAAACCTGTGTGCTCTACAAATGCACACGGATTAAGCATAGGCGACCGGTTTATGGAGTCACAGGTTATCAGAAGATCAGAGCAGAGAACACTCCGAACTCGTATTGGGATGCATGAAATAATGAAGTAGAGTATGTTTGTAACCTCATGAAATACTAACTGAAATTCCAAAATATGCTTTCGATTCAAAAAGATCACTTAAGCAGCGTTGTGATGTAACGTTGTAACCATCAGGTATTTCAGTCATGTCACGACGTCGGTTTTTGAATTAACTCCTTTTAGGCCACTTGGAAAAACTACACTTTGTACTAAATGACTGCTTAACTAGTGCGCATTTTCCTCATTTATTTTTGATGCCCCCAAAAATTCAAATTTACTATACAAAAAGCAAGACCGACATATTTTCTCCTGCACTCATTTGATGCAAAATTTGCATCTTAAATGTTTTTGATTTATCTGTCATTGAACTTACATTCACAGTTTCCAATCTATATGCTGCATACATTCTGTGGCAGGAATATTGCATATTCCCCTATTATATTAGGAAGATATCATAAAAGATTTATAAAATTTTGCAATAGATGTTGACGGGTTTGTAAACCTTACTTATGACATAAACAGGCATGCTGCTACGACACTGTGAGTGGACATTTCACGGTCTTAGGAAATCTCACATTTAAAAACTTTTTAAAAACAAAAGGTATGGTCTCTTCAATTAGAAAATATGGCGATGTAATTTGCCACGAAATGAATATAAGCAAGAATTTTTATGCACATTTTTATAAAATGTAATTAAATTTACAGATGTATCTAAAATCAATTTAAAAAATGCCCTCCACATTTGTAGTTATTTTAGGAGAGAATAGTTATTGTACGCGCCTGAAACTAAGCTTATTTAAAAGCTATCTTTTTGATATGACTGAAAGTTCTTCCGACTGTGCTCTAGGATGGTTAGCCTTACAGCCATATCTAAGTAATCTTTTCGAATAAAGCATATTTTAGATTTTTGATTTACATTTCATGAGATGATTCGTCTGCTGTATTGATGCTCATCTCTGCGTGTCTGTTATCCTGTCTACAATTACTCCTGTGATCAAATTAGTGACTGACAAGATTGCCTGTCAATAATTTAAAATATTCGCCTAATTCAACCCAATAAAACCTGACCCACTCTTTTCCTACTCCCTGAAATCATAGCTGGAGCTTCTGCGAAACCTCCGTTTCGGAGACAGTGATGGCGGAAAGCCGATGCAGGATAACTTTCGCCCGCTTCAACCGCTAAATCCCGTTCAAGCTGCGCAGCCGCGAGTGTTGTTTAAATCCTGGTCGGCGGCTTCACGTCCACTTGCGACTGTCCTTTTTTTAGTCAGCCTGGTTTTCATGCTTTCCAGTTGAAAAGACTTTTTAAATCGGGCTCTCCAAATCCCCTTACTCATGAGCCGATAGTTGTACAGTTGCTTTCATATTGTAAACATACTCGCAAGCACTTCCCAAAGAGTTCTTTTTTCTTCTTTCTTTCTTTTTCTCTCTCTTGTAAGATCTTATAATGGTTTGCAAACTCGTGGATTTATTTGATAATCCGGCCGAGTATGTGGACGTTAAAAAGTCAGTCTAGTGTTTACAGCACAAGCCCTCTTTAGGGGGTTCGCACTGGTCAGGCCTGCCCTCCCTCCCAACTGATTGCTCACTTTCAGATTAGAGGTATAGTCAAATGTTTTAAATAATCGATGGACTTGAGCGGAAGGTGACAGTCTTTCATCACCCTCGCTTGTCTGTTTTGCGCTGGGTGTGTGTGGAATTATTCGGTGCGCGCTAGCGAGGATCAAGATGCGGATCCTTTGCGATTTGGGTTGCGATATGACCGCTAGGCAAAGACAAACACGTTACTGAGGGTCATTTATATCTGTAGCCCTTGTTCCCGTTCTCTCCTCCAATTATTGACTGGTTTTCGTTGTTCAGAAGACGAAGATGCGATCACTGGAACAAGAAATACATTGGCCTGACTTTTCGGATTCGCACCCGAACACATCACCAGAGGCAGTCGCAGATAAGGGTACTAATGGCACAAGGACTGCAGTATTTATAGCACGTCGCTGCCGTGGGACCACATGCGTACATGCCCTCTTAATCACCGTTGGGGTCGTAATTGATGCGGTGGTGGCTTTTCAGTCCGCGTCCGAGTCGTTAATGGCCTCCATTTTGTCATCCGTGTTGGATGCTGGTGTGACGATTGCTCGGCAAATTGGCTCACCGTCACTGGCATAATTGCTCGCCCGTGCGCTCGCCACGTGACCTATTCCCCGACCCAGGGAAAATCTCAGCACGGCATACCGTAACGGGAGGTCATTGCGCTTGTTGATGGATTGCGGGCCTGAGAACCATGACTCGAGCAGCTCGTGGCTCACGCGGTCGTCACCCCTTGCGAGGATTGCGGCCTCTTGAATCTTGAAAATACGGCTGGGTTCCGTCAAATGAGCCGCCACCTGAGAGCTAGCGTCTCCCCGCCTCACAGCTGCTGCGTGCTCGGCAATTCGCGTACGGAGTAATCTCCCAGTTTTTCCGACATATTTGCCTTGTCCGCAACTGCACCAGATTCGATAAACGACTCCTGACGTTTCCTGCTGTGACAGAGGTTCTTTGGACCTTATAACTTGGCGCCTAATTGTTGTTTCCGGCCTTTGTCACACCCCAGCCTCAAGTCTAGTGAGAAGATAACTGACGGCTTCCAAAACGTTCTTCACATACGGAAGAGCTCGCAGAAATTTGGGACCGGTTTGATTTGGTCTCTGGTGTCGTTTTTGTATGTACTGGTTGACGAAGTTTCGCGGGTAACCATTGGCTCTCATTACCCGTCGAAAATATTGTAATTCAGCAACCTTGTCTTCCATTGCACTGCAGTGAGTCTCAACGCGCCGGTATAGCGCCCTTATGTAACTGACTTTGTGACTGATCGAGCGGTTGCTGTTGAAGTCCGGTATTTGCGTCACATTTGTCGCTTTCCTGAACACTGGTTTTTAGGCCACCACAATCTTTGCGGCAAACGAGGACATCCAGGATGACCAGCTGATTGTTTTCCTCCTCCCTCATCGTAAACTGAATGTCCGGGAAGATGGCGTTGAGGTGTTCTTTGAATGTCAGCACCTGATCCCGTTCGATGAGGACGAAGTAGCCATCCACATACCGAGCCCAGAATTTCGGTCTGTGGTTTCGGAAAACCAGCGACGCCAGCCGTTGTAGGACCGCCTCTGCTATGAGCCGAAATCGGCGAACCCATTGGCGTTTCCTTCACCTGCTCGTAGATTGTTCCCTAGAACGTAAAATGCCTCTTGAGACAGAACATTAGGAGCTGGATGATCTGGGCGTGTCCGAGGCGATTCTCCGTTTCGTCGTATTTCTCTGGTAGAAGTAGTTCGATCGTCGTGACTGCCAGGTCCTTGTGCCACCATTACCCTTATCTGCGACCGTCTCTCATGATCGGTTCGAGTGAGAATCCGAAACGTCAGGCCAATAAATTTCTTGTTCCAATGATCACATTCTCGTCTTCTGAAGTGCTACCTGGAAATCGCCTGTTCGCTTCTATCAGCATTGGTTTTCGTTGTAGTACCGTACCGCAAAAGTTCAATCGCAGGTTTTCAAGGCAAACGTAAACGTCTGTTGTTTTGTTTAAATCTAAAAATCTCACCCACGTGCAACTGGGAATATTTCCTTAAGAAGTTGACAAATGGCTCAGCTACTTAAATCTGGACCAATTTAATTCACACTCATATCTCAGGTTTATCTTATTGGATCATAGAACGTAAAGGTCACTTAATATATTTGGCGATGTCAAGTAAGTGTTTGACCTTCACTCGATCCCATTCTGTCCGCCCGCCAGCTTGCACTGACGACAACGAACGTCGTATAATGGGACCCATGCCACACGATCGGTAACGACAGCGAAGCTGCTGTTTGCATCTGGCCTGCCGCACTCTCAGTGAGTTGTTTATGTATTATACAGTGCGTGACCCGATCTTATGAAATGATCGCAAAAATTCTGGGCTATATCGCAGTTGGTAGCCAGGTCCCGCGTTACAGGTGGCTGGGGGGTGACAACCGAGTGAGCCGGGAGCTACTGGAATCATGGTTTACTGGCCCCCAGTCCATCAACAAGTGCAACGATCTTCCCATTCAATACAGCGTGCTGAGACTTCGTCTAGGCGGAGTAATTGGCCACGCGGGAAGCGCACTGGTGAACACTCTTCCCAACACCCGGGTCAACGCATCAGATGGTCGAGCAATCATCACGCCAACATCCAACGCACGTGATGAAATTGCAGCAATTATCGGCTCGAATGTCGGCCATCAAGCAATGATCACACCAAGTGTGACAATCCCGGATGAAGGGGGAAGCCGTGAACGTTCATAGGTATGCGGTAGCATGGCTGCTGCATCCTATAAATACCGCAGCCCCTTGTGCAACAACCACCCGTTTATGCTCTTTTGTCTCTGATGATGGATTCGAGTAGGAATCCGAAATGTCAGGCTAAAAAAGCTCTTGTCCCGGCGATCGTGTCTCCTTCTTCAAGGCTGGGGGGTTTGTTTACTGGGGCTAGTTTGTGAAGCTCCATAATCACATGTGACCCATTTGACTTCCGTTTTACGGTTGAGGTTGGGATTAGGGTAACGGTTAATAGTTTCCGATTTTCGGGTTAGGGTTTTGCCTTTAGGCTTAGGTTTTCGGGTAGCGGTTAGAGTTCTAGCGTACGATTAGGTTTCAGTATTACGGGTAGGTTTTTCAGTTACGCCTATGCCTAAGGGCTACGGTTATGTTTACGATTTCGGTTAAGGTTACGATTAGGCTTGTCGTTAGGGTTAACAACCAACGTTTACTAGTGAGGTTAGGGTTAAGATTAATGTTAGGATTAGGGTTAGGTCACAGTCCGCTTCCCATTCCTGACTACCAACTGCGATCTAACCAAATTCTGAAATGAATTTCCGATCAGAAAGGATTACGCAGGTGGGTTTGTGGTATTGATTATCCTACAGCATAATTCTATAGTATTTCAGACTTGTCCGGATGTCGACTTTTAAAGGCACGTTTTTTCGACCTCCTGTGGAAAACCGCACTCGATAAAAACTCCAGAATAATTTGGGGCCTGATCAGCCGGTACATTAGCGAGCAGTGATTTCAGTCTACAGGGTGCATGCGTTTCGTCTATGAAAAGTCATAGATTCTTCCACGTCTTTGAAAAGATACCATATAGGCTCGATAAGATTTTGCGATGGATGCGGACCATGTTGTACGGTTCATGAGGAGCAGTGGTAACCAGACAGGCATGATGCTGTGTTAATGGACATTACATGGTCTTAATAAATCCTATAATTAGAAACTTTTTAAAACCTCATTATACTCCTTCTTCTAGTATGCAATATAAAGACGACGTAGTTCTCTGTCAAATGAATAAAAAAAACAGTTTTATCCATGCTTTTTATGCAAAAATATTCGAATTTATAGGACCATCGAAAATCTGTGTGAAAAATGTATGTCACTAAAGTAGTCATTCTTTATCGAGTGCGCTTTCTGCAGGAGGTTAAATGGAAGTGCATTCCAAGGTTAACATCCTGGCAAGTCTGAAGTACTGTAGGATTATTCCACATGATAATCAATATTACAACCCCACTTAAGTAATCCTTCCTAATCGAAAACGCATTTCAGAATTTTAGCCAGCATTTTATGAGATCGATCACTCACCGTCTATGGCATGTGTCCTAATACACAGCGTTCGTTGTCGTCAGTAGCAAGCTGCCGGGCGAACAGAATGGGGCGGAGCGAGATCCTCACCAAACAGTGAAGGTCAAACGTCCACTTGACGTGCTTATATACCTTACTTGATAAGGCCTATGACGTACTGATGTCCGATAACGACCGTGAAACAGCTGTCTGAGTCTAGCCTGTTGCACCCTTAACAAGCTACTTATGTGTTTGGCAATACCTTGTCGTCAGATGACAATCTGCAAGGCCTCTCGGACGAATATGAACGCTTGTATTCAGTCGTTAATTGTTTTTAATATGTGGATGCGCATTCAGACTTGATTAATCAGGCTTCTGAGAGAACTTATATTTCATTTAACAAGGCAGCTTAATCAAATTCGGCGACAATTTTGTTCGTTGACACTTAAGAACGAACGGTCACCTGCGTTGAAAAATTCATGCTACTTAAGTAGTCATTATTTATCGAGTGTGGTTTCTACAGGAGGTCGAAAAGAACTGCATTCAAACGTCGACATCCTTGATAGTCTGAAATACTATAGAACTATGCTGTATGACAATCAGTATTACTGAGCCACCTAAGTAATCCTTCCTAATCGAAAACTCACTTCAGAATTTTTGCCAGCATTTCATGAGATCGGCTACT